GATGCTCGTAGGTCTGAAGGACAAGAGCTAGGCTCTGACACTTCAGGAGGGACCCAAGGTCATTCCCATGAACCACGTGTCCCCCAGAGAACCCACAGCACCACGGCCATGTCCTGGGCATCAGAGAGCACATCACAGGAGGAAGGGCTCGAGGAGATGGAATGTATGGTGGTCTGCCAGCACCGGGCACAGCTCAGCGATTTACCGCCCGAGACCTTAGGATGTGAACACCCTCCTTCCTAGTGCCGGCCTTTCTCATCCTGTCACATCCCGAGCAACAGTAGAGGAAGGACTCGGGGCCCAAGGCCATGAGTGACCCTCACCATCCCCTTTGAGCTGTGGACCCTGGCGTCCGCTTACCTTTCCATATGGAGGGGACGGTGGAAACCTGCGTCACGAGTGATGTGTGTTAAAGACCAGCATCTGCGGGGCCAAGAGCTCTGCCCCCTGTGCATGACCTTCACTGAAAAGACCCCCAGCAGGGCCTTCCCTAAGCCCCACCCCAGTCCTGCCTCTGATCCCTTCTCACAAGCCCCTCCCTGGAGGACAGCCGGACGGTAGATGCTCGAAACGACTCTCACTGCCTTGCCTCCTCCTGTTTTCTCCTGTCTCTCTGCTTCCTGATATCTGAGAGCAGCTGCAGAGGGCAGCCTGGGGACCAACACATCAGTGGTGCGTGGGTGCGGGGGAAGATGCTTCTCCAAACACACAGGGGCTGGAGGCCTGCCCTCAGAACCACGGAGCCCCTGCGGAATGGAGCCGCTGGCGGGCGGGAAGGGTTCAATGCCATCCTCCTGGGCACCAGCCAGAGCTCTCCAGGGAAAGACATAGAGGATGTGAACACACACACACACACACACACACACACACGGATTTATTTTAAGGAACTGGCTCATGAGATTGTGAGGCCTGGCAAGTGTGAGGTCCGGGGTAGGCCAGTGTTGGGAACCCAGGCGGGGTCTCTGTATTACAGCCTGGAGCAGAATTCCTTCTCCTCTGGGAAACCTCAGCTTTTGCTCCCAAGGCCTCCAGCTGATGGGAGAGAGGCCCACCAAAATCACAGAGGGTTCACCTCCTCAACTGAGTCAGCTGACTGCCGATCTGAACCTACAGCAACTTCACAGCACGGGAGCCTAACCCCGCAGACACCACGGCCGTCCCAGCATCCACGGCTGCTCCTCTCCCCACTTCCCCACTGGCTGCACACTCTCTTCACTTAGACCTTCCACCTCTTTAGAATTCTCTCCATCCCACTTTCCTTTAGCTTTGGAACCAGGACAAGCTTGCTTTCTTGGACTGAGCAATCTAGAAAACAAACTAGAAAACATGGCTGTTCACTCCATGCCAGGATGGAAGAGCAGTCACAGGCCAGAGGACATGCCTGCCTTCTCCCCAGACCAGAGCCCAGGATGGCACTCAGATGGCCTGGAGGCCGTGGACATGGCCACTAACTAGTTCAGGAAGCCTAGGCATCCATCCCTAAGTCCACATCTCCCATAAACTGGGCATAAAAATCCCACCTCGTTGGATTGTCAAACATTAAATGAAAATGTACAGAAGAGCATTTGTGAGCTTTGAGATTCTGTGCAACTGGGAAGAGTCATCATCACTATGATCATCAATACACTAGACACCAGCATCACCACCATCATCACCATCACCACCACCATCACCATCACCATCATCACCATCACCACCATCACCACCATCACAACCACCATCATCACCATCACCACCACCATCATCACCACCACCACCACCATCACCAACATCATCACCACCACCACCATCATCACCACCATCATCACCACCAACATCATCACCATCACCACCACCATCAACACCATCATCACCAACATCACCAACATCACCAGCAGCATCACCACTATCATCACCATCATCATTAACATTATGACTGAACTGCATCACCCTCAAAATTCGTATGCAAGCTTTGGATTCAGGAGACCGAAAGGGAAGCCTGAGAACCTGCATTTCTCTCAAGTTCCTGAGTCCTGCTGCTGTTGCTCCAGCCTTTGGATTAAATCATCAAGCAAAGTTTGGCCAGATGAAGTCTGTCAAATATCCCATGGTTTGTTAGAAAAGCCCCTGCTCACAACAGCAGCTGAATACCATCAAGGCTTCCCAGGTGGACACAATTGAGCTCCGTTAAATGATGCGGCAAGCTAACACTCTCCCTGAAATCAACAGTGAGGGGTTCATTTTTCATCACAGGGCGGGGAAAGATCATGAATGCAACATGGATGCTGGGGACATTTTACAGGCAAGACTGCAGAGGCTGAGGTCAGTCTCTTTGTACCATGAAAACATGAGGAGGCGGAGAGACAGGGGTGACCAGCTTGTACACGCACAGTCGGAGCCCGTACTGGGTGTGCAGAGCGTGCACCCAGGCTTTGATTCTGCCCCGTCCATGAACAATGTCTGCAGGGCACAGAGCCCTATTATTCAGGCGAAATTGTCTTCCTGAACCATTTGCGGCTCTTGATTGATTACTGTTAGCAAAATCGAGACAGATGGCCTCGGGTGTGAGCTGGGGTGGATCTGTTGCCAGTGGGGTGCACAAGCGTTCCTGCCAGGACTCCTGGAAGAAGGGGGCATCCCCCGAGGTGGTCGCTGCCCGTGGGGACGGGAGTGGGGATTCACAAGGGGGGTTGCCAACAGTGACCTTCTGTCCCGGATGCCGCGCACGACTCACTCCGCTGGAGAGTTAGGCGGCGGTTACAAACCTCTGCCTAGAATGGCAGCAAGGGCTCTGTGCTGCCGTCCCCGTGCCAACCTGAATCAAAGGGCACTGCTGTTGTTGTTCTGCAGTCGCTCAGTCCTGTCCCGCTCTTTGTGACCCCATGGACTGCAGCACGCCAGGCCTCTGTGCCCCTCACCAACTCCCAGAGTTTGCCCAAGCTCATGCATGTCCATCGAGTTGGTGATGCCATCCAACCGTCTCATCGTCTGCTGCCCTCCTCTCCTTTTGCCTTCAATCTTTCCCAGCCAAGGGCATTAGCTGCTGTTCTCTAAGCAATTTAAGTACTGTTTGACTTCAGAAAAAAGGGCCATGGAAATGTATCACTTAATAGCAGCAAGATATTTAAACCTAGACCACCGACCCACGGATGAGTCCCACCATGAAGTGGCAAGAGCCCACGGCTCCCTCATTATCACCACTGCAAAGAGGACATGCTCTGGGGATGAAAGCACAGTCCTCACAGACCCAACAGCACACCAGGAACTCACCTGCATGACTCATTTCACATCAAATACCTTTAAGCCACAGACGCAGAGTAAAACCCAAGCCCGCCGCTGCTCATGAGCTGAGCAAACTTATTAACGCCGACTGTTAAACACCCAGCTCCACCTGGGGATTGGGCTGACTCATTCTCAAGCCATCGGGCTTTCCCAGTGGCTCAGTGGTAAAGAATCTGCCTGCCAATGCGGGAGACACGGGTGTGATCCCTGAGCTGTGACGATCCCACAGGCCTTGGAGCAACGAAGTCCAAGCCCCACCACTGCTGAGCCTGTGCTCGAGAGCCTGCACGCTGTGACGACTGAAGCCCACGCGCCTGCAGCCCGTTCTCAGCAAGAGAGGCCGCTGCAGTGAGGAGCCTGTGAGCACAACCAGCGAGTGGCCGCCACTAGGCAAAAACAGAGACACCCAGCACAGCCAAAAACACAGTGATTCTTACAAAGACAGCAAACCCATCTATATTACCAATATCTCAGTGGAGGAATCCCTGACGGCTCAGTGCGTAAAGACTCAGCCTGCAATTCAGGAGACACAGGTGATGCGGGTTCGCTCCCTGGGTTGGAAAGACCCCTTTGAGGAGGACGTGGTTAAGCCACTCCAGGACTCTCGTCTGGAAAATCCCATGGACAGAGGAGCCTGGTGGCCTACAGTCCACGGCATCGCAAAGAGTCGGACATGACTGAGCGCTGACACAATGACAAGGAGAGGTTCAGCCGTCACCCAGGGAAGCCGGGGCCAAACGTGAGACCCCTCTCTGCCCAGGAAGCTGTAAAAATCCTTTCCAAACAAAAAGAGTCACAGGCACCTCAATGTTCAGTTTGAGGAGAGAGAGAGTGCATCGACTGTGTTTAGGAAGAAAAAGCATTTCTGTAACTTCAGGCATTTAGCCAAAAAAAAAAAAAGCTCTTTCATCCTAAACCATCTGGTCAGCTGCATCAAAATTCGATGAGCCCCACGTTTATAAAATGGGGTATTACTCAGCCATAAAAAGGGATGAAGCAGCGATACAGCCAGCAACACAGATGGACCTTGAAAAGGCTGTGCTGAGTGAAAGCAGCTGAGCACAAAAGACGCCGTATGGTACGAGCCCCTCCTCTGAAACGTCCAGGGGCGGCTGTCCCCAGGGGCGCAGGGGAAGGAGCGGGTGTCCAGGGGCCGTGGGAGGGAGGGTCAGGGAGTGACTCTTCTGGGTCCAGCATTGTTTCCCTAGGGCTGATGACAAAGCTCTTAACCACACAGAGTGATGCTCCACACTGTGCCATGTGCCCACGGCCACTGAATTGCACGTTCTGACACGACTACGATGGTATGTTTTGTGTAATACATATTTTACCACAAAGTAAAAATCAGGACCCTGGCTTTTCAATCCACTTCGTAACCCCGTGGCCACTCCGAGCTGGGTTGTTCGCCCTCTACCCAGGACAGCAGGCCAGGTGGGGGCACAGGACGGATGCGAGCCACCCCCATCCCCCAGGAGATGGTCCCCATTCACACGACGGGCAGCAAAGCCAGCACTGCCCACCACTGCGATGACAAGGTCCACGTCCTTCTGCTTTTCCCAAACTGCCTTCGTGAATCGCCCCCCGGAGGCATGGCTGCCTCAGCTGTTTGTTCTAATCGGAAGGAAGCCAGCACGGACAGGGAAACTGAAACAGGATCCCAGCTTCAAACGCAGACCCGGCCCCCAAAACCAGTGCGGGCACGCGGCCTGGCGTCGCGGGGGCTGGAGGAGTCTGCTTACCTGGAACGGGGTCTGGCTGTTGTAGTTCTTCAGTTCTTTATCTCCACCTCGAAACAGAAGCACGCGCGCACAGCTGTCCTGCAGAGGGAAGAAGAGATCTGTTTGCAAATCACCGCACATACATCTTCCAAAGGAGCTTGTTCACAGGGTGAGCTCACAGGAGTTCAGAGACGTGGAAACAAAGTCAACAGGAGGGCGTTTCTGCTCACTGGAGCGACCAGGAGGAGGGCAGATGGCCCGGATGCTGTCAGCTGAACTTTCACTGCTGCAAAGACTTGGGACAGCAATTCCGCAGAATCTATAAAACTTTCACATACATACACCCCATGGCCAGTGATTCTTTTTAAGACTGACTACCCATGGAGAAACCTGAGCATGGAAGAATTGATGCTTTGGAGCTGTGGTGTTGGAGAAGGCTCTTGAGAGTCCCTTGGACTGCAAGGAGATCAAACCAGTCCATGCTAAAGGAAATCAATGCTGAATATTCACTGATGCTGGAGTTGAAACTCCAATAGTTTGGCCACCTGATGCAAAGAACTGACTCATTGGAAAAGACCCTGATGCTCTAAGAATTGAAGGCGGGAGGAGAAGGGGATGACAGGTTGGATGGCATCACCGACTCAATGGACATGAGTCTGAGCAAGCTTTGGGAGTTGGTGATGGATAGTGAAGTATGGCATTCTGCAGTCCATGGGGTTGCAAAGAGTAGGACATGACTGAGTGACTGAACTGAACTGAACTGATGCAGGCAGAAGGAAATGGCAAACCACTCCAGTATTCTTGCCTGGAAAATCCCACAGACAGAGGAGGCTGGCGGGCTACAGTTCATTGGGCTGCAAAGAGTCAGACACGACTGAGCAACTGAGCAATTTATAGAGAGCTATGCATACGCATATAAAATATGTACTAGTTGAAAGACCACAAGTAAACTACAAAAGGAAAGAAGAGAAAACGCGGAGATGGCAAAAATACTCTAAAATAAGGAAAAGTGGGAATCATTCTGGAATATTCTTTGTTTTCAAAACAACTTTCCATTGAAGTATCGCTGATTTACAATGTTTCCGGTATGCAGCAGCATGACTGAATTATACACAGACGCACTGCTTGTCCAGATACTTTGCCATCATAGGCTATTACAGGATATTGAGCACAGGTCTCTGAGCCATACAGGAGGTTCTTGTTGTTTATCTGTTTTATATTTAGCAGGACCTGTACCTGTTAATCCTAAATTCCTGATTTATCCCTCTCCCACCTTCCCCTTTGGTAACCATGTTTTTTCCTACGTCTATGAGTCTGTTTTGTAAGTAAGTTGATTTGCATCATATTTCAGATTCCATACAAAAGTGATACATATCTTTATCTGGCTCACTTAGCATGATCATCTCTAGGTCCAGCCATGTCGCTGCCAATGGCATTATTTCTGTTTTACGGCCAAGTATTATCCCGTGGTGTGCATGCACCCCGACTCCTTCATCCACTCCTTTGCTGACGGACACTGAGGTCGCCCCCATCTCCTGGCTGCTATGAACACTGGGGTGCAGGGATCGTTCTCAATTAGCATTTTGTCCAGATAAATGCCCAGGAGTGGGGTTGCTGGATCATTTGGTAGCTCTATTTTTAGCTTTTTAAGGAACCTCCACGGTATTCTCCACGGAACGTTCTTTGCCAAGACAGTGATAGCAAAAACAAAACAAAACCAACATACGCCGATAATAAAGTACCAACATACGCCGATAATAAAGTACCAACATGCGCCAATAATAAAGTACCAACATAACCTCCACGGTATTCTCCACGGAACGTTCTTTGCCAAGACAGTGATAGCAAAAACAAAACAAAACCAACATACGCCGATAATAAAGTACCAACACGCGCCGATAATAAAGTACCAACACGCGCCGATAATAAAGTACCAACACGCGCCGATAATAAAGTAACAACACGCGCCGATAATAAAGTAACTAGAAAAAAATCCAAAATGTCTAACTGGAAAATATGAGCCTCAGGACGACAACATGGCTTAACTTCATTTCCATTCTACAGTCTATATTTTAGAAAGCAATGAATAATCCTGAAAAGAAGTTACCCGTTAACAGGAATTACTTTCTCAGGAAGGAGAAAGGGTGAGGGAGTAATCAGAAGGAATCTTTTGCTGCTATTTTCTGAACTTACACTTTCTAATGTCTTTAAGAGGCAGCCAATGTTCTTTCCTTGTGTTATGTGTACAATGAAAAGGGATCTAGTCCTGTCCATTTAGTGAGCATCTACTATTCACCTGGAGAGGCTAACCCTCTTGGAAGTCCTGATGGGGAGAGTGGGGTCAAATACCCACAGAGAAAAAGGCACGTGAAGGGAGCTCCCGGGTCGCCCAGTGGTGAGAACTCCATGCGTTCTCTGCCGGGGTCCAGGTACAATTCCTGATCGGGGAACTGAGATCCTGCTAACCGCATGGAGCGCCAAGTAAAATGAAAGAGAGACCAGTGGAAGCAGACTGATGTAGAAGCGGTGATGATACGAGTCCTCTGCCTACTGGATGCAGCTGGGCTGTTACGCATGAGCCGCTTATATTTGGGGAAGAGTATTTAGATGCTCAAGTGCCCATAGGCGCTGGTGCCTCATGCAGGGGGACTGCACTGTCTCCCACGGGGCAAGCCCCGCCCCAAGCCCATCTCCCTGGTCCACCTGCATCTACAGAGCCCAGAGCAGAGGCAACAGGTTGCACAGGTTGGACGCTTGGTAAATAACTGCGGAATGAAGAGTCCATGAGGCAACTGACAGGGTTTTCCACCCAGGGACCTGTTTACAGGGCCAGGCCAGTAGCCCCACCCCAACCCCGGGGGACCCGCTACCCTGGGAAGGGCAGGGGCCAGACCAGGACACACGGCGCAGGCGGAGGATCTGGACGAATAGTGGCCTGGAGACGAGGCTGGAGATCCGGAGACAGAAAGGGTGAGCGCTGCCCAGGGCGGGGGCTGGGGGTGGGAAGTGGTCTGGGGCAATGAAAACGTTCTAATAGTAACTGTGGGGTGGTTAGCCAATGTGTATGCAGATTGAAAAGACCCTGATGCTGGGAAAGATTGAGGGCAGGAGGAGAAGGGGATGACAGAGGATAAGATGGGTGGATGGCATCACCGACTCAATGGACATGAGTTCNTAGTAACTGTGGGGTGGTTAGCCAATGTGTATGCAGATTGAAAAGACCCTGATGCTGGGAAAGATTGAGGGCAGGAGGAGAAGGGGATGACAGAGGATAAGATGGTTGGATGGCATCACCGACTCAATGGACATGGGTTCGGGTAGACTCTGGGAGTTGGTGATGGACAGGGAGGTCTGGAGTGCTGCGGTTTATGGGGTCACGAAGAGTCGGACACAACTGAGCAACTGAACTGAACTGAAGCAGGTTGAAAAACACCAAATTGTATATTTTAGGCAGGCAAACTGTATGGTGTGTGAGATAAATCTCAATAAAGGTGTTAAATATTATCAATAGAAAAGTAAGAAAGAGACAGTCAGAGAGATCGAGAGACACAGAGAGACAGAGATAAAGTCAGAGAGACCAGCACAGAAACAGTGATCAAGAGAGACACAGACCAAGAGAGACAGAGAGAAAGACAGACAAAGCCAGAGACACCAACAGAGAGACAGAGACCAAGGGAGAGACGAACAGACACAGACAGAGAACGCCGGCAGGAAGGTGGACACAGACAGAGAACGCCGGCAGGAAGGTGGACACAGACAGAGAACGCCGGCAGGAAGGTGGACACAGACAGAGAACGCCGGCAGGAAGGTGGCTCTGGGCCTGCCAGGCCCAGCCCGGAGCACGCTGGGGCCGCCCTGACCCCCAAGGCCTGGGTGAGGGCCCCCCGGGGCCTCTATCGCAGGACGATGATACGAATGGGGGGGACACCCGTGCACAGAGCAAACAGGAGCCGAGGCAGCAGGACCCTTGTTCTCTGAGCCACGGTCAGGCAGACACACGGGACAGGGCGGGGTCTGCTCACAAACCCGCCAGCCACAGGCGGGATGGCTCCGAGTTCTGCAGGAAAGACTGCTGTCGGGCGGCCGGGGTCCCGGGCCTCAGCGGCACACGTGGGTGGCTGTGGGGGTCACTGCAGACTTGGGGTGCGCATTGCACAGGCCTGGATGGAGGCCGCCTTTGGGGACCTCTGGCTGGAGAGAGGGCCTGAGGACCACTGCGGGCTGGCTCTCCAAGGCAGGCAGAGAGACAGGGAGCCCCTGGGAGGGAGGGCAGCCCCCGTGGTGCCAAGAAGGACACGCGCAGGTAGAGGTTAGGACAGAAAAAGAGGCTGGAAGGACACATGGCCGGGAGCCCGCTGCTGAAACAGCCGTGAGCACGTGATGCCCTTGGTTCAGACAGCGGGCAGACCAGCACCACGTTGACAGGTGGAAACTGCAGGGAAACCCCAGTCTCGGTCTACACTGTCTGCACCTTTTCCAGGAGTCTGATTTCAAGTGGAGCTCTGAGTAACTAAAAACACTTAAAAGAAAAATTTTAAAAATGGACCTCTGCTTGGCAAACATACCTTTCACATTTGGGATACAGTTAATCCCAGGCTGTAAAACAAGAGCCCCGGGCGATACTTCCAGGGGAGATGAGCCCTGGCTGCCGGCCCAAGGTCACACACCCTGGAGTGAGGCTGGTCCTGTCACTTGATTCCGGAGCCTCACCTCCCGCCCCGCTGGTTCTGTGAATCAGCTTCTGTTGGAACTCAGGCTCCTGAATGTTCGGGTCCCGCCCCAGGCTCCTGGCCCCTAACCAGACCGCCAGAACCCACCCCACCAGCTGGGGCTTGTTCATTATGACCCGAAGTCAGTCAGCTACTTAAAACAGCAGCGTGATCTTATCTCAGTGAGCAGTGCTCTGCAAAGAGAGGAAAGAGGAAAGGGTGACTGAGAGAGCCCTGGCCCTGAGGGGACATGGGGCCCAGGGATGCGCGGGATTTGCAGGTTACCACCCGGGGTGTGGGGGGAGGGGTGCAGGTGAGCGAGAACGAACTCCGGGGGCACTGAGCCAGGGCGAGCCCCCCCAGGGCTCGGGGACCTGAAGGCTGCCTGGG